TTGCCTTTGTTTTAAACTAAACTTAACACTTTAAGCTAAACTGAGGCAGCACATGCAGTAGATCTGCACATTGTTCCTGCTCCTTCCTGTCTGTTGTCCAATAGGAGAGGAGCTGACCCGGGAAGCTCCGCCCACCGTATGTGCATTATGAGGCAGACATGCACAAGGTAATGTTTTAAAATATATAATTTATTGGAACTAAGCGGGAAAAATAAATATGAATGTCAATTAAATTACAAAACACGAGGTAAAGTTCTCCTTTTTTAATTTAACTGGTGTTTTTTTTTTAGTTTATTTATTTATTGGTCCAATTATATATTTCTGCTTTTATTTCTAATTATGTCAGTTTTGGTCTTCCGTAGKTCTGAAAGTTGATGTTTTTGGTACCACAAATGTTCTGGGTCTTCTTCAGGTCTTGAGGAAGGTGGCATCCTAATCAGACCCCCCCCCAAAAAAAAACTAATTTCCCAGCTGCCCCTGYGTGATGGCGCTCCTTCCTCCGCCTCTCAGCACTCTTTAGCTGCTTGTTCTTTCAGTCATGAGCTAATCTCATGATTAAACCACTCATCAAGAGTTTTGCCTTTTGGCTTTTATCTTTACCACCGTAAACTGCAGACACAGCCTCAGTCCGTTGATTCATCTCCGCCTCCGTCCCTCATGAACAAGACTCATGGAGACTTGAGGCAAAGACTCAGAAACTGCAAATATGCTCATATGACATGTTCATTATTCGCCTTTCAGACAAAAAAAMCATTCATTTACTCATCTCATCTGGTATTTATCAAAGTTTGGAAGTGCAACTCAGTGCCAAACATCTGCCTCTGGACAGTTTTGTGTTTGAACACAATCCTCCTCAAGGTTTCTACACCTTCTGGTTTAACGGTCAGTATTTTAAGGCCTGAACTTTTTATTTTACTGTTTATAGAACCTCCATATCCAGTATTTTTATCTAGATGAACCCACAGAACCATGCAAGTGTACACAAAGCAAGCTCTGACGGTTCACTGATTCTGTGTATTTACTCAAATCCTACATCACAACCAGATAAGAACGTTCAGCAAYGAAGGGTTTGAGGTGTGGAAGTGGTCATGCTGTGGTTTCAGAGCGGTTTGGTTTCATCGCTCCAAACGAAAAAAAAWTTTTTTTTGTTTGTTCCTGTGTGGCCCGAACGCGTTTTTACCCCCAAAAGCCAACTGCAAAACGATCCTGCAGAATGCCAGCAGTGTTTTTGTGTTGTACGACGAAGGATTGATCTCCTGTTTTATTTTATTTTCTTCTGCTAATTAAACCCATTTCCTTCACCGAACAATGGGTTTTCAAAGAACTGTACGCTCCTAAGGGTTGGACCCAAACAAAAAAGCCCCGTTGAACTTTAGCTTGCTTGTGTTAAATCTCCCTGTTTTTACCCCCAATTCAACCTGAGTGATAAACTGTAATAATGTCAGCTTTTCTCCTCAAACAATGAGTGAAGGTCCAGTTGTGAGCAGGAGATCTGGAAGCCGACGAGGCTGCTCGCGTGTCTCATCCCAGACGTTCTGCGTGGAGGGGAGAGGCGTTCTGCGACAGATGGAATGAGCTCAGTGTTTACAAAGTCATCTGGGCCGTTTCAGGTTCGAATCAGAACAGTTTCCAATGGAAATGGTCAAGCAGAGGACAGATCTATAGCCTGAAACTGTTTCTGCATTTTAAACTGAAGCTGATCTGTTGGAGTAAACCTGAGTTAATAAGCAAAATGATTTGTGACTAATTAATGTGTTCTCGGTCCAAAAACCTAAAAATAAAACATGTATCTGGGTTTTATTGTTGCTGTTGATCATATCCGATCAACAAGGTCTCAGTGTTGGAGTTTTTTTTCTCAAACAGCAGAGAGACGTCATTAAAAATAATGAGCCTTCACTTTCTGAGCTTTGCAGCCAGTCAGATTGTTCTCAGGCACAAAGTGTTCAATGTAACTAGATGGAGATTTAGCCTTTTTTTCCTCCTCCTCCTCCCCTCCTAACATTTACAGTGTGAGAAATTCTCAGTTTAAGCAAATGAGCCATTAACGGCTCATGTGCAAGGCAGTCGACCACAATCCTGCTGGTGTTGTCCCAGAGAGTGTTAAAGTGGGGTTGTACTCTGGGTCACTAACGGGGCAGGAAATTAACGTTTTTCCTGCTGGCTTGGATACTCTGACTGAACACATCCAAAAATAAACCCCAATCAGTTCTTGGATTTTTAAACCTCCAGATGTTTTATGATTTTTTTCTTGTTTTTTTTTTTCAACTGTTCTGGGTCTGTGCTTCATTAAAAGTCAGACGTGGAATTTGCTTTATGGTTTTAACATTTTGTTTTCCAACCTGGATGAAACCACAATGTGCCACGGTTGTTTGAAACTGAACCTACAGGTGCAAAATGAATGTTGAAAAATCTTGAATATCCTAAAACCTTATGGGTTGTAAAGTGCTTAATTGTGTATTGCGTCTTCTTTAAATGAAAAGTTTGTAATGACAGTAGGTAATCAGTGTGCATTGCCAATGCAATGCACACTATTGTGATTCGTTTCCCATCCAAGTCATCTCAACTTTGCCATGCTTCTCTTCTTGCATACTTTGTCCTGGAGCTGCCTTTGTAATTTATATCTGCAAAGTTCCTGTGCCAAATGATGGCTATGCCTTTTGGTGCCTGTAAAACCTATAGTTTATGAAATATTAATGTTTAATGAATTATAATGGCAGTCAATGGGGCCTTGTATTGGTCCAATACTGCCGCATGCTGTACTCAACTTGGTACTGCACCATAGTTTAATATTTCAACTCAGTAGTTCAGTGTTTACAGTACTAATATGATTGTATTTTTGATGTTTTACTATAATATTGTCTTAATACTGCTCAATTGTTGTAATATTTTGCATTTTTGTGTCAATAACTGTATTGGCAATGTGGCCTCTTTCTGCACACATACAAACCAACCCCTGCCACCACCTTCTGCCACAGCTCCATTGGTCTAATACTCTATGTCATGGACTTTCATGTGGGAGATCAGGGTTCAAAACTCGGTTAATGCAAATTTAAGAAAAAAATCTCTTCAAACTTCATATTGTCACACAATTACCTTAATTACAAACACCTGCTGATGTGACAGGCACAAGCTGGTATAGAAAACACATTTGAACTTGGTCAAAGTTCATTCGGCAAGTCCAATGCTGCAGGCAAAGCCATGCTGCAATGACATACTATGTGGCAATGCACACTTGTTTTTACATCGTAAAAAACCCATGTCCAGTTTCACTTGTGGCCTACTCCTAAAGTGCTGCAGCRCAAATGCAGCCATCAATCAATCTCATTCTACACACATTTTCCCTCCTTTCCACTGGTCAATACTGCAGTTATCAGGTCAGATTAGTTTCCACATGCGAGCCTCCTCACATGTAGGACACTGGAGGATGTTAAATGGGTGACAGAGTAGCCTCTGGGCAGCAGAAACAGCTCTAACTCAGTCAGGTTTACAGTTACGAGCTAAAAGTGGCATGCACATTATAAACTTAGCACAAAAAGTAAGAAAATTAAAGTTTGGTAGATGATTTCTTTGTTGAAACAATTCTGGGCAATAAATCTTATAATTGGCAGTACCTGGAGATATCATAAAACACGTTTAAATAAAAAAATAAGCTGTTTGGCAGAGATTTGGCTCTTTTTTCATGTTTGTAAATGTATGTTCCTTGCAAATGTGGTGCCATTTAAAAGGGAAATTAACAAACTTTCCAACAATGTAAGACTTTTTTACCAAACACACATTTCCTTACTTTTTTGCTGAGTTTATCTATTTTCAGCCTTTAAGGCAAAAAAGGTTTTATTACTCAGTTAAAAAACAAATACATTTGAATTGAATTCTGATTAAATAAATGTGCAGTTGCTCAGCATTAACTTTTTGACCCATTTATTCTCAGCCTTTTGACCTCTGAGCTCAGCTGTGTAATAATTTGGTCATCTTTGCTGCTGAAATGGGTCAACATTCAGGAAATCAGCCTGAGGCCCAGAGCAAGTCATTGCTATCAGTCTGTAAATAAATCAGATTTCCATTTTCTTCCTTCAGATTTAAGCGTTTCTGTATCTGTTAACATTTTTCCAGGGATCTGAGGATCGAGCACCAAAACTCCAGTGAAGAAACCTCTTCTTGCTAATGTGTCTCTGCGGCAGACACTTTGGCTTGCAGGCATGTTATTAATCAAACACTGCTTTAGTTTGATGACAGGCTGCGTGTTAGAACCAAACTCGAGCCTAAAAAACACCCACTGCAGTGGCTCACTCTTCACAACGCTCACAGTACCAAGTATTTCCTCACCTCTGAGGGGCTTTCAGCGGAACCTGGGAAACGATGGAGGTTTTATACGCTGTTTTCTTTGGACCTTCCATTCAAAAATCCCATAAATCTGTCACATGGACGGCTGACTCAATTGCTAAAACAAATCGAAAGCTTTGTAATTACATCAGTCAGGCTTTGTCAATTTTTGTTATTTTTCATTGGATCAGTTGGGTCACTTTTTTTATAAAAACATGGAAAAATAGTCCAAGATTAGGAGATAAATGTGTTTTMTTTCATCTTAGTGTAGATTAATCAAACTTTTGTAACTAAATTGCTGCTTCACTTAAGAAATCAAACCATCTTTTCATACCAAAATGTCAATTTATGTGCAATGTCTCCCTCTAGTGATGACTTGGAGGTACTACAACCAATCAGGATGACACATTGAAGTTCATAATTTCCTTGCATGTCTTTAAATTTGTAACAGAATAAACTAAAGTTTTTTCTTTCCTTTTTTTGTGCAGATTCTTTTCAGTGTTTGTGCTTCCCTTTCAATGCRTTTTAGTATAGATGACATTATTTTTTACAGTATTTGAAAGCAGGTGCCTTTGTGAAAAATTGGAGATCTTCATGCATTTCTGTGAGGAAAATWCGGTGTTTGGAAAYGAAATTTAATATTTTTCAAAGTAYTTAAGTTRCAAAAACCAAAAGTCAAATCCTGAAAGCACAAAGTAGTCAGATTGCAAACAAAATGCAAGAATCKGATTCTTATTTTTATTGACAGCACAAAGGAAAAACTTCACACTCCTTTACATTTCAGTTTAACRTTCTGCAGTGGCACCTGTCTTATGCGTAACCACGCTCTTTTTTCTAAGTACAAAAAAGCAAGACAAAAATCAGGACGTATCACAATTGACAACTAAAGTAGAAAACCAACAGAAGTGTCGACTTCAGCTTTATTGAGGGTCACACTTCATGATCTCTCTGAGGCAGATGGTAGCGTAGCAGGAGGAGTCCAGGTCAAAGTTCAAGGTAAGAGACGGTGAGTCGGCGCTCCTTTCTGCCGCTGCTCCTCCTCCGCCGTCCTCGCTGGCTGCTCTCTGCAGCCGGTAGCTGACGTTGCGCGGAGCGGCCAGCAGAGGACGGTAGCAGCCGGGCAGGTTCAGTTTGAGGCTGCTGACCCTAAAGCGACACTCGGACAGCCCGTCTCTGGCCAGCTGCTCCTGGTACCAAGCCCCCACGGCGTTTTCAGGATATTTCACCGTGTTTCCTGGCATCGGMAGCAACACCTAACAGAATAATAAAATTATTTCACAATGAGGCAATTTAATAAAACCAATAAAAATAGTTARAGAAACTCCATACTTGTCCAAGTGTGTACACGCCCGCTTGTTCCTCCTCACGGGTCACCACATGGATCTGGAAAAAATGTACTTTTTCTTTWAGTTGTTCAGTGACTTTAGCCAACACACTTAATCGAGCTAAAATGTCATTTGTAACATGACATTTGCAATATTACACAATGCAAGGAATCCAAATTRAACAGGAGTCTTGTTGATGTCAGGGGCGCCAGCAAGGGGCCCCCCCCCGAGAATAAGCTGGCCACCCTAGTGGCCCCCCAAGTTTTATCCTCTTGAGTACCCAGGTTTTTCTTTTTTCAATTCCCCTAACTATTTAGAAATATAACCTCATAAATATAAAATCAAACACTGATTTTTTTAACAATTAAGAGTTAAAAACATTCATTTATATTTTATTTAAAATAAAAAATTAATTTAAATTGAAATGTAGCACCTTTGAATATGGACAACCAGACCAGTCTAAAACCAATGTTCTCAAATAAAGATGGAGGTTCTCATGAGG